TTAGCATCCCAATTGTATTGCTATAGGAACGTAGTGAAGGGAATATCATGAAAACCCAGTGATCTGACCAAAGACATTGTGGCGATTTGATCGACTAATGGTAGAGGACAGATCCAGTATAACTACGTAGTATAAGTATGCATACCAATGCAATTTACTGTTACACAACGCTGTACTCCCTTGGGCAAAATTAAAGGCTAACATCCCCGTTTCAATTTACATGTACCACTTCTAGGGAAAGATTCAGAACAGCGTCCTGGCCTGAATTTTGATCTTACAAACTGACCTCTGGAAAACCACAAAATTTTCTTTCATGCCCGAAATCTGTGAATTTGAATACTCGATCCCCACCATTAAAAGTGCCACCGACCCACAAATTGACTGCCTCTCTTGTTATAGAGCACAATTCAAATTAATTTATTGGAGACAAACATAACTGTTATTACAGAATCGGGATTCTTTAACATACATTTTGTCTCGACTCCAGGGTCGTCTCAATTTCTTTTTCATCCTATATATATATATCTTATTCAGATGAGTGGCCCTTATCGCAGCATCTATATTTAAGTTCATTAAAAACCACAAATCAAACGAATTGTGTGTACGCGCCGTAATGTACATGATCTTTGGATGGTTATTTTAAGTAATCCGATGTTGATAATTTTGAATCCTATACATTATAGTAGATGTGCGTACATGGAAAGCATCAAAACAGACTAAAGGCATTTTCGCGTCGATCATTATACCGTTTTATTTGCATCTCATCTGTAGCGAGATTTGTTGCCAGATTAACGAAGCATCGCACAATTATGTAAGAGAACCACGAAAACAGAGCACCCGCACCAGACACGGGCATTTAATTTTGGTTGGTCCGTAAGGGGCTTGCAGTCGACCGGAGGCAGAGTTGTGAATCAATCTACAGTATATTATTTTCCGTTTATATAAAAGTTACCTAAGTCCCGCATAACGCTATGTCAAAAATTGGTCACTTTATGACCCTTTAAAACACCGCTACAGATGTAGACACTCCAACCCAATTAATTAAGTTCGATGTGAGAAAACTTTCAACAAAAAGTGACAATGTGAGCCACATATATTTAGATTAATATCGGAATAAATATATGACACGTTCCATTACTTTCACTGGTTTATTTCATTGTACCCTCTAACAGGGAAAGCAGTCAGCAGTTATTAAAAGTAATATGAAACATTAATAAAAACGTTATGCTAAACGTGAGCGGTTGGGATAAGTTAATTTACGCTCTCATCTTTCATATGAAAAAAAAATGAATATTTATTACAAGAGTTCAGGGTGGGAGGGGGAGCATAAGGGCATAGCAACTATTATGTTATGAAATAACGATCTGAAATGAAAAAAGTCAAGTTGAGCCTTTTTACTGATATACTTTATCGTGTTTCGTGACTATCTAGCTTGGTCGGTTAAGAAGATATATAGCCCCCCTGCCCACACTTATTTCAACCTGTAAGATTGGAAAGTCGGTAGTCTGGCTCGGGCAATAAAATCTCACTATCTCCACATCTGGTTTCTATCAAATGCGTTCAGAGCTTCAGAGCTTAGGACAAACATATTGCTCCTCGGGCCAGGAAATCTGGAGAGGGGGAGTAGAGGAACATGTCTTCTCAATATGGAAAGCTATATATTTTTGGTAATTTCCTTTGTAGCATTTACAAAATACTATAAAATACCCTTTCTCGAATTAATATCATGTTCACACATTTCTGTAAATATCCTGAATTTAAATACTAATGTTAAATGTCAGAGACTTTGATTTATGACGAGAGAGAGAGAGGTTAAGACATTCTGTAAATGTCCCGAACTAGAGGAGAGTGTTATAAACTAAACACATCTTGGCAATAACCCGTAGACAGTTAGCCTGCAGAGTGGTTTAGTTATTATTGTCAACATTATTGTTTATATTTTTATTAATATCAAACAATTTTACTGTTAGCAGCTATACCTGTTTGGAACCTCTATTCTGCGCCATATAATAACAATAGTGCAAAGTAGTGATATTGTAAAATCCTGCAATAAAATTTTCTTCAAGTTCAAATATCAAATTTTATTAGATGGTTGAATACAACATCAGTAATAGGACAGTAATACAATTCAGTATAATGATACTGAATTGTTGTAAAGACATGTAGGAAGCAGGGTGACCATATATGCTCGGAATTTTGTCGGGGAGGGAAATTTCTCGAGTTAGTTCACCGCCCTGTGAAGCCACATTTTGTGGTCTGAGATGCCGTATCCGTTACTTCGTGACCTGACCTGTCAAAAGCACGTCTGCGCGCTCTTTTCATCTTTCGTCGATTCTTCCACATTAATCAAGATACGGAGTATCAATTACAAGTGACCCCCGGGGGGCATGAAGGGAATAAATAATTATATGTAGTATCCTTGTGACAGAAGGTTACTCTGCAATTTATATCTTTCAATTTATGCTGTGAAATAATAGCCAGCTAGTCCGTTGATCTCGCGAATCAACCAATTGACCGTTAGTTGAGTTGCTAAACTGCAAGTAATCAACCCCCTCCCCTCCCCCGAACGTCATACTGGCAGGTTTCCAAATGAAGACTATACCGCAGAAAAAGTTTGGGGTCCAAATGAGAGTCAGCCAAGGACACGTTTGGGGAACACGTTTGAACACGTCATGATGGACATTTACAGGTGTAGGACCAGAACAGAGCCTCTGGTAAACAGTTTAGAACCAAGGGACCGAACTTGATTTGAGGACCAGAAGAGAGGCTTTACATACGTGCATGTAGCTTGTATTTTTTTTTGTTTGACTTAGTTTTTTTATAACACAAAAAGGAACACTAGATTACGATATCTGATCTGTAACCAACATGTAATTGCCTCCCTTCCCTATTGTTGATATATATATATATATATATATATATATATATATATATATATATAAAATCATTCCTACTTATAATACCGATTTTAATGAAGAAGAATTGGTCCAGAGAATGGCCTTGCAGTGTTTCATACTTTTGTGCAGTAAAAACAGAGCAAAATGAATCCCTACAGAAAGTCACACCAATAAATACTTCAGTTAATATTAATTGCACATGTACACATATTTTTTGAAATAGGTTTTTTTCCAGACCTCATAATGTATGTGTCAAGTTCTGAAGGCCTTTTGATGAAGATCCAAAATGTAATACTCACAAGTAAAAATACACTTTGTCTCTTTAGAAACAATTTATTTTTGACCATTATTTCAGGTTATGGCTATGGCGTGTATTGCAGCAATGCTCAGCCTGGTGACAAGGCCATGGTACACAATAGCAACTTTACAGTTCTTCACCCTGGAATGTGTGGAGTTATCTTCATCTACCTCACAGGATCTGGAACCTTTAGTCTTGATCTTCTCCTGCATAATGGAACCAAGGTATGTCAAATTGAAACTTTAAGGAATAAACAACTTGATGGGTAAAATAATACTCCTGCAGAGGACTGTCTTAATGGGTTACATTTTTATTCTTACCACTTTTTTTTTTGCTGAATATCTTAGATAGCTGGATAGGTTTAATTGCAAAAAGCATTATAGAACATAAACCACAATACACATAATGTCTTCATAACTATGGCAACACAGTTTGATTTTAATACATTATTATAATCTTTTCCACAGATCCAAGGGCCCAGAGTCAGTGAACATGGCTACCAAGTGGTCGCAATGGACGTCCTACCAGGGGAATACGCACAGGCTGAACTGGCCTTCACCTGTGGAAATGGAGGACGGCAACAGGGCAACAACACCCATGAACCAGATGTGATGGCAGTTGGCATGGCAGCAATCCAGGGCACAACATGTTCTGGAGGTATATGGTCCTCTTCTTCCTCCTCTGGTGCTCTTTCCTTTTGACTAAGACTGGGTTCCCAACCTAGATCGATCTAACAGGATTGGTCCATCTGCAATGGGTTTCTCGCTAAATTGCTTTCAGCTTAGGTGGCTTAGATGTCTGGCACGCTTACTGAAGCTGCTTAACGACAATCAATTACCACCTAGCAGCTTCAGTAGGCGTAGCAGACAATTAAGCTGCTTAAAAAAAAACAACCAAGTAAAGAAGTACTTTATAGGTTTATTTGGTGTAGCTCATGTTGAAGAAAAGGCTGGGAACAGGTGGGAGGGTGTGGGTGTAGGTGTAGGGTAATTAAAACAGTCGATCAGGTAAGCATGCAGATACATTACAGATTAATTTTGTGTTGCTCATGTAGGGTAAAGGATTTAATTGGGATCGGGTGAATAAAGACAACTGAAAGTAAAGCTAATATAGCAAACAGTGTTTGGGGCTTTCTTGAAGCATAATTTAAATCAGACTTTTTTTGCATTTTATTTATTCTTACGACCTGTTAAGTCTTGAGAAGTAAATTGTTGGAAGAGAGGGAAGAAGAGAGAAAGCATTTACTGGTTTAAAAAGTTATTTTGTTTTATGGACAATCAGGGGAAATGGATGTACTGCATGTATAAATTACAAGTGTTTTTTTACTTTGGTTGTGTTATATTGACAGAAATTGACTGAATGATTTAAGTATGGAGGTCAATGTTGAACAGCAGTCTGTTGCAAACATTCCTATGTTTGTCTACTCTTTGTCTTTCCATAGTGTTTAATTTCTCTTAGGTAATAAAAATTCATTTTAATTGTGTAACTTATGACATTTGGATTTTTTTCCTTTTGAATAGCTGATGATATGCAAGGATACCTGAAAACCATATTGTACTACCATGATCATTGGAATATGGGAGGTTCTGGTAACTCTGGATCAGGATACTCTGGATCTGGATACTCTGGATCAGGATACTCAGGATCAGGATACTCTGGATCTGGTTACTCTGGATCAGGATACTCTGGATCAGGGTACTCTGGATCAGGATACTCAGGATCTGGCTACTCTGGATCAGGGTACTCTGGATCAGGATACTCTGGATCTGGATTCAGTGGCTCTGGATTATTTGGAGGTGGTAATTATGGATCTGGATACTCTGGATCAGGATTTTCAGGGTCTGGATATTCTGGATCCGGATTTTCTGGGTCTGGAATTTTTGGAGTTGGAAACCAAGGATCTGGATTCTCTGGATCAGGATTTTCTGGTTCTGGACTCTTTGGAGACAGCAACAATGGATCTGGATTCTCAGGATCTGGACTCTTTGGAGGCGGCTACTCTGGATTTAGTGGCTCTGGATTATTTGGAGGTGGTAATTATGGATCTGGATACTCTGGATCAGGATTTTCAGGGTCTGGATAT